ATAACAGTTGTATTGATGTATAGCAACTTGAAATGCTCCCACAAATGGCACTACAGCATGTAAAAAAATAATATAAGCTCTGGTGGACTTGGTTCTATAGTAGGTCTTAAAGGGTTAAATAAATATCGTCAAATAATCGTGATCTCAATTTCAGTGAAAATAATCGTGATTATCATTTTTGCCATAATCGAGCAGCCCTAGTTGAAGTCACAACGATCAGTGTGTAGATTGGTAATGTGTTAGCAGATAAGTAATATGGCATGAACCCACTCTGTTTTTAAGATGCTATGCTTGATCTGCTTTACTTGTCAGTACTTCTCTTGTCTGTTCAACTTCCCAGTCACACAGGCCTAAAGACCACTGAGAACCACTGGTCACTAATAAGGGTGGGTTTAAAATATCAAATCAAACTGATTTTAGCTTGAATAGCGCAATATCGACTCATTAAATCCTGAATCTATTTTTAAATATAAATGTATTTAGGCAGAAATGCCAGAATCTCAGGTTAGAGTTCACAAAACTATTTCAGCAACCACCAAACAGCTAAAACAGCAAATGAGAGCAGGTAAACGGATTCCAGACAAAGATGCAAACACAAAGCGAGTGTCGTTCCCCCCACAGCATGTACATAGACATGCCGTTGGGGCTGAAAGCCGACATCTCACAGATTCTGAACCTGCAGCTTTTGTCACTCTCCGACCAAAATTCACTGAAACAGCAGCAAAAGAACATAAAGACTATGCTCCACGTTTGAAAAACATCGTCATGAATTCCTGCTTACTTTTGCTGTTTTGCTTCCACCACAATACAATCACACTTCCTGCACACGTTTTTCTCTCTCTCAGTGTACTAAGGAACAGTTTCCCATCTCAAATCTCTGTTTTCTGCGTTATTCGCTTGATTATTACGCACTAGTCTACCGTTGTGTACAGCGCTGTATGGATATGTACTGATAAATGGTCAGTTCTGGTGGATTATGTATTACGTTGCATAATCCACCAGAACTAATACAAAGCGCCTATAATTTTCAAACCAGGAGGCTGTGGGGTTGCACTGGCTGCCATGTGCATTTTTTTGCTCGTCTGTTTAACACCATTCACAAATTTTCAAAACCATGTCCTCCAGTCCGGTCAGTCCAGACGGTTGACCTGTACTGCCAAATTATCAGCTAATGTTAGCTAGTTTGGTCAGCAGCTGCATTCATATACTATATGGGTGCCACATAGAGACATGTTTTTTTGGTGCTTAGTGGTGTACTAATAAAATACAGTGGTCCCTCGCTATACAGTGGTCCCTCGTTCACGTTTCGCCGCCTCGCTGTTTCACAGATTCTTTTGGTGCAATTTTGCATGCTTTTTATTTTTCTTACAGCGCATTCTGTCCTTTCTCCCGATTGGCTTAAGACCATTGTCAATCAGTCTCGTGCAGTGTCTCCTGTACGCTACAGAGTGCATTCAGCTTGTCAAATTTACATAAATCTTCGATCGCTAGCAGTGTAACTCTAAAGTGCTGTACTGTATGTAAGTTTTCTCCCCCACACACACCCCAATGTCTATGAAATGTTTTGCACCGTCAAAGGCAACCACAGGTGCCTTATAAAGAAAAATATAGATTTTTCTTTATATCTGTACCAATATGATTTTTCTTTATGCAGTAAAATTAGGCATTTTGACATGTAAGTCTCTGAGATCTTTTCAGCTTTATAAATTTTGAATTAGAAATGTATTTATTTTAACTAATAAATTGATTTACAAACCTTATTTTTCCAACAAGCTTTTTGTTTTTTAGATTTTAGATTGAGAGTTGATTGGTTGTTGTATTTACAACAGAGGTTTAAAAATGCTTTCTAAAACTGTTATCGTGATTTGGTGCTGTATATCTAAAATTAAATTTGTGTTGAATGGAATTGAATTGATATGACACACACATGTAAGAGCACAGGGATTCACAGAAAATATTGCAAATGGACAAAGCTCCTGTAATGACAGGTATAAATATGGTTTTTCTGAGTAGCCTCAATTGGGGCCTAGAGGAACTGCATTGTTTTCCACTTCTGCATGCAAAAATCGATTCTGTGTAGTATTGTGATATTTTGTTTGCTAATAATATATCGATACAGGGACAGCAGAAATCGATATTTTGTTACAAAAAAGGTTTTTGTGCTCTGACTTCAGAGCATGTTGATCCTTTTTCTGAGCAAGAATCCTGGCATTCCTTCGCTGTCCAAATGTGTTTAACTTTTTTTTGGCAGCAATAAACATGACAGTTTACTTATTTTAATTTAAGACATGTTTTATTTTAATTAAGTTTAAAACTTTTTTATTTAATGTAAAATTATATTTTGTTTTAATTTACTTTCAAGTTCTTCAGTTGCTAAATGGGCTGCATAGTTTTCATAAGTTGCATAGTTCAGAATAGCTATAATTGTACCAGATGGTTGCATTCAGTTAAGTTGGACTAGACTATAATACAAACCGTTCAGTTTGTCAACAATAAAACTGACTGAAATGAGAGAAAGACTGAGTGTGAGACTTTGATATTAGATAAAATGAATATTGATAAAGTTTACCTTTACGTACAGAATCTGAATATCGCAAAATATTTAAAAAAAATTGCAATAATATCGTATCGTGCGTTAAGTATTGTGATAATATCGTATCGTGGGATGTATAGTGATTCTCACCTCTACTGGATAGAAGTGTAACTCTACCTTTAAGTTATCACCAAATTAGTAAGACTATTAGTTTAATTTGTTCTGTTTTTATTTGGAATTAAAATGCAACAATGCTATAATAAATCATTATTGGACCATTAAACTTGTAAGATTAACTCTGACCAATTCTTGTTTCCAGGATCGTTTCCTCCTGCAGTTCTCTATGCACGTAAAGACCGGCTCAACAGACCTGCACACGTGGCCACTAAGACTTTCCAGGCCTTGCGTATCTTTGTGAATGATGAGCTGAATGAACTTCACGCTGGCCTGTGTGCTGCCCAGACGTTGCTAAAACCCAGCGGACGTCTCTGTGTTATCACCTTTCATTCACTAGAAGATAGACTGGTCAAACGTTTCCTCCGGGGAGATGACTTGTCTAATCTGGATCACTTCAGCCAGAGGAAGCAAGGTACCAAGAAGGAAAACCTATCGCATGAAAAAAGTGACGGAAGTGTCTATTGGCTTCCTCTGCGAAGAAAAGTGATCACTCCAGAAAAAGACGACGTTAAGGAGAATCCTCGAGGACGCTCCTCTAAACTCAGGGCAGCACTCAGACGATAACTATTGAACATTAAATATAAGACAATAGAAGTTGTAGAAAAAAAGTTGGAGCTTTTTACATTGAACATTAAACTTCTACAAAGACTCAGGGTTAAATCTCAGTAGACTTGGTATCACTTTGTAACAAAGGAGCTCAGCAGAGATCAGTGTGTTACTAAGTGGACTTTAGACATGAGGTGATTGTACTGTTTCCTATTTGCTTTGTAAGGAACATAAAAAATTAATTTACAGTTAAAATTTTGAATTAAATGGAACAAATGTTTACCAGTGTTGTTTTCATATTCCTAGTTGTTGTGAACAACCTGTTTTTTTTCTGATAAAAACAAGTAAAGAAAAACTAATGCACGAGGACAAAAACTGTGATGAAATGTATTGACACTAGGGATGGGTACCGGTATCCGGTGCCATGACGGCACCGGTTCTGACATAAACGGTAGTAACCAGACCAAAAAGCAGCACACATTTCGGTGCTTTATTTCGGTGCTTTTTTTTCCCTGAGATGTCATACACTTTGGATTCCAGGCAATCATTTTACCAATCATTTTACCTTAGCGTAGTAGGCGGGTCTAGGTACGTACGTTCTTTTAGAGCAGAGCTACAGATTAAAAATGCCCAAGGCGAAGCGGTCAAAAGTCTGGCTGTACTTCACAGCAAAAGATGCAAACTCAGCAGCCTGCAACAAGTGCTTTAAGGTGATACTGTGCAAAGGAGGTAACACCTCAAATCCGATGAAACACCTGGCGACGCATAGCGTTTTTTAAAAGCCGAGAAATGCACCGTATTTGATAGCTTGCTGCGAGACCTCACATCGAGCACATTTACTGCGGGTGGGTTGCCTGTTATCGGACCCGGAGTTAGCGACATCCCCCAAAAACCCAACGAGGAGAGTCCTGGCCCCTAGCCCTGCCAGTGTAGCAGAAATGATGACCAATGATGATGGCAGCAGCAGCCGTTCTTCTCTGGGTCAGTAGCTTAATGTTGTTCGTGTGTAATTTCCGCTGAGTAGGCTAACCATGTTATTAAATTAATGAACGTAAGGTGAATTAGCAAACACCGTTGTAGTTGCATGCGGCTGTCTTCCTGTTTGATGGCAGATACTCCCTTCACCCTGGAAAAAAGGCTAAAATGACCAAAGAAAAAGTGGAAAACAGCTAAACATGAGAGGTTTTTGGACAAAGTGTGTGTTCTTCATTCTTTAGGCACCGGTTTGAGCACCGTTTAAGCACCGGCACCATTTCAAAAGTACCGGTTTGGCACCGGTATCGAATAAAACCTAAACGATACCCATCCCTAATTGACACTTTGGTAAATGAATAAAAATGGATGAAAATATTCTGGAGAGACGAGGTCCAATCAGAATTAATTAACTTGTTAGGAAGGTGGGAGGAGTTAGGGGAAGTGATCCAATCAAAAGTAATCTTGTGAAGTAAGATGAGATTTTTTTGGTAAATGGTACGGCTAGCGCTCATGCTCTCTGTTTCTCATGAAAATGTGACAAAATGTCAACGCTTGGGAAGAAGACAAGTCATATGGAGCCATTTCGCATTTGATGTCACAGAAAATAAGACGCCTTTTAAACCGTGTGGAGGGAACTTGATAAGTGCTTAGCCTTTATATTTTAGTCAACTGTTGTTATCTCGGTCTGCCTTACCGGAGTCATGTACTACCCACAATGTTGGGGAGTAACGGAATACATGTTGGAGGCCGGTGTTTTAGGAGCGGCAGAAGATCTCATCAACAGGCAGTGTTGGGGAGTAACGTAATACATGTACCACCGTTACGTATTTAAAATACAAAATATGAGTAACTGTATTCCGTTACAGTTACCGTTTAAAAAGGTGGTGTTCAGAATACAGTTACTTTGTTGAAATAAAGGGATTACACGGCGGTCTTTTCCTGTTTCATATGCTAGGCTGTCCCGTCCTTTTTTTGGTAATACCACGCTGGTGGAAACTCAAACAAAACACGCATTAAGAGGCTCTAATGTCTGTGTCTCAATCTTGCGGCCTATGTCACCTCTACTTGCGGCCCGCATAAGGACGTGACGAAATATTTTTAAAAATTATTGTTCAAAAAATTATTTAATATGAAGGCAATAGGCAGAGTGTTACAGGCATAGCCCTAAAGAATGTAGCCTCATGGGCAGTGTAGTCCAGTTGTAAGTAAGCTATAAAGAATTCTGTGCTTAAACAGTGTTGGTCAAGTTACTTGGAAATAGAAATTAGTTACTAATTACTGATTACTTCTCCAATATAGTAATCCCATTACTTACTGATTACTTATTTTCAAAAGTAATTAGTTACTTAGTTTTTTTTTTTAAAAAACATGATGAACAACCTGAATGCATTATAAAGAAATAGACCTTTCAGCCCAATTCTATTTTTTTTCTGCGTAATCCATCATATAAAATTGAGTCAAATGAAAAAGTCTCTTTTTAAAAATTGTTTTTATTAGTTTTAGTCTTTTAACTTTATGCAACATTCTCTAGAAGAAATTTGTTTTCTGCATATTCCAGCATATAAATTAAACTTCACATCTGAGCAAGCACCTGGCACGCTGCCTTGGGAATGTGAAATTAAAAGAGAAACCTGACCGCTGTGGCACCGGGCAAAGTTCTTGCCAAACAGGTGAAAATAGACTTTAAGAGCGACAGGACTTGGTGCTGCTGAATCTTTGATTTTATTTATTTTTTTGCTGTGTTTTATTTGCATCTATTTGAAAGAGTGAGTGTAAACACAATTTTTTGTCCTGGAATATGCAGAAAATAGGTTTATCATGTCTACGTTTCCATGTTATCCGGTTTTATTTTAAAAGAGTCATGTGTTCTTTTGTCACTGTGTTTAGCTTCACTTGTGATGTTATTGTTTAATTTCAGTCAGCTGTTTCCCCATGTGTTCTCAATTCTCCTGATCACCTGTGCTCTGTTTTCTGTGTTTCATTGTCAGGTCGTCTGTTATACTTACCACAGCCACCACAGTCTTCGTAGTCTTTGTCGTAGTTTCACACTGCGTTTCATAGTTGTTCATAGTTTCATGTGTGAAGGTTCTCAGTCATCCAGGTCATCGTAGTCTAAGGAGCTTGGAAGGAAAAGCGTCTGGACTTCTTTAAGTTGCTTGAAGACGTTTCACCTCTCATCCGAGAAGCTTCTTCAGTTCTAAGGTCAAATGGTGGAGAGTCCCAGATTTAAACCCAGTGGGAGTTTCCCCCCAAAGAGGGACAAAAGGACCCCCTGATGTCACATGAGCCAAGGTGTGAAAGCGGGTGTGGGTCCCAATCAGCCAGGGTTTCGGGTGAGCTCATTGTGAAACCTGGCCCCACCCTATCATGTGATTTCCTGAGGTCAGATGGCCCAGGATGTGAGTGGGCGTTAAGGCGTCTGGGAAGGGATCTCAAAACTGGGTCTATAATCCATATAGATTATATCCATATAGATTATCTATAACCACTGAATGTACTCAGCTACATGAAGAGCACAATTAAATAAAACCTGATTAAAGTCAAAGGTTGTTACTTGTATTTGAACTAAAAACTTGGATGATCTGGAATTCTTTCATTGTTTTTTGCAAAAGTGTGTTATTTATCATAAAGTAATTAAGAGTCATTCATACCAGAGTAACCAGAGAGCACAACATATATTTAACTTTCTACAGGACTTAAAGATATTATCCATCCATCCATCCATTCGCTTCCGCTTATCCTTTTTCAGGGTCGCGGGGGGCGCTGGAGCCTATCCCAGCTGTCATAGGGCGAGAGGCGGGGTACACCCTGGACAGGTCGCCAGTCTGTCGCAGGGCCAACATACAGGGACAGACAACCATTCGCACTCACTTTCATTCGCACATTCACACCTAGTGACAATTTGGGTTATCCAATTAACCTATCCCCACTAAGTGCATGTCTTTGGACGGTGGGAGGAAGCCGGAGTACCCGGAGGGAACCCACGCAAACACGGGGAGAACATGCAAAAAGTATAATTTTCACCATACAATTACTAACCTTGTCATCTCCTGCACTGTCTGTTTTGGGCTCTGGGCTTGTCCTTCCCAGCGCTCATGAGACTGCTTTGCTGCACTGTGGTATGAGGTGCTAACCTGTTGACAGTGTTGGGAAGGTTAATTTTAAAGATTACAGAAGTAACGTATTCTGAATAGTTTACAACTACATGAATGTACTATTGCTGTGTGATCTATTACTATTACTGAAGGCTACTCGCCATACCAATACCAACTAGATGTTTAAATCTTAATATAAATGAGTAACAGTAGGGTGGACATTAGGCTACACTTTTTGCAGCGATCTTGTATAGAAAACTATTCCACGCGTATATAAAACAGGTCCGCAGCTCCGAACCGTAGTAAAGGGACCTCTGCCTAATATGTCGGGTTCGTGTCGGGCTCGTAGCTGAAAACTAGCTTTACTTTGTTGTCTGGGTCAACTTTGCTAGCGAGAGACAGAGAGAGGCGTTGAAAGGCTGCTCCAACGGAACTTATTGTTTCAGAGGACAACACGAACACGGTGTACAGTCGAGTCTTAATAGCGTACTTACAACTGGGCTCGTCAGGCACTCTTCTTGGCTGCAGTGGTTATTATTATATTTACATGGTTCCAGCTCCCGTTTCTGCTCGGTGACAGCTTGTAGTTTTCCACTCTCCTTTTTCTCCCTCCCTCGCTCACAGACACATAACAGGTATGGCAGTCCATTCTTCCTGCAGCACGGATTACACTGCCCTTGAGGCTACATGCATTAGGGCTATGCCTGTAACACTCTGCCTATTGCCTTCATATTAAATTATTTTTGTATAATAATTTTTAAAAAATTATTATTATTATTATATCTTGCGGCCCATGTCACTGCAAGATACAGGCATTAGAGCCTCTTATTGTGTGTTTTGTTTGGGTTTCCACTGGCGTGGAATTACCAAAAATAGAGAGACCATAGCCTAACATATGAAACAGGAAAATACCGCCATGTAATCGATTTATTTCAGCAAAGTAACTGTATTCTAAATGTCACCTATTAAACAGTAACTGTAACAAATACATTTACTCATATTTTGTATTTTAAATACGTATTACATTACTCC